TGCCAGGACTATCCCTTCCCTCCACTTTTGCTTCTTTATGCCTGTATTGTCTCCTCTATTAAAATGTAAACTTCTTGAAGGGAGAGACTGCAGCTCATTTTTATTCTGGTATTCTCAATGCTGAGCACAGTGCCTGGCCCAGAGTCAGCACTTAACCCATGCTTACTGGTCAGTTCATTGAAGCATTTCTAACTTGCAGACGTTGCCAGGGCTTTTGCTTAATAGCATAGGAAGCTTAGAGGAACCAGGGTCATCTTAACACCATATATGTATACACACACGTGTATAATACATTCTTACATAATACACAATACACATATATGTATATACATATACATACACATATGTTTAATTTAAATTGCCTTCAGGGGAAATTTGAACCATTAGGTAGTTGCAATCATTCAATTCCCTAGACTGTGTGTGTGTGCGTGTGCGTGCGTGCATGTGCGCATACTTGGGCTACATCTGATAACATATCTTTGTATGTATGTATATACATTTACATACACATAGACATATAAGTATATTGTACACATTTGCTTACTGTCTCCCCAATTAGACGGTAAGATCCTTGAGGACAGGGACTATCTTTTGCCCCGTTTTTGTATACCTAGCACTTAGCACAGTTCCTGGCACATAGTAGGCACTTAATCAATGTTTATTGACTGACATATATGCATGTGAATGCAAAGTGTCCCAAAATTCTTGGTGCTGTTTTTTCAGTTTTAATGGCTTAAAATGGCATTAAGGCTTTTGGAACACCTTGCATATATTTAGACACACACACACACACACACACACACACACACGTATATATACACATATATGTATATTAGGGAACGGCATCCTTATAAATGTCTATAGTACCTGTACATAGTAGGTATTTAATAAATGTTCATTGACTGATTAATGATCCACACTTCCCCTGCAGGCAATTAAAAATACATTGCATCGGTTGATGCCTTTTGTCTATCAGTCACTTTGTAGTGTCATCTCCCTATCCCCCTCCTGACAGAGAAAAACAATTAGGCAAAACCAACCGATATAGCACCTGTACCAGGCAACGTAGATATTCTGTCCTCATGCTCTCTTGCCTTTCTTCCTGCAGACAAATTGAAAAACAGACCCAGGAGCCTGCAATTAAAAACAAACCAAACAACTACCTTTTTGTGGCATGGCAGACAGAACGCTGGGATCAAATCTTAGCTCTGATGCCTACTACCTGTGGAACCTGGGACCTCTGTTTCCTCATTTGTTTAACAAAAGGGGGCTGGACCAAGTGACCTCTAAGCCCCCTTCCAGCTCTCAATCTGGGATCCTCTGTGTGACCTTGGCAAGTCACTGAACCTCCTTGGGCCTCAGTTTCCGCATCTGTAAAATGAGAGCGTTGGGTTATACGGTATCAGAGGGTCTTTCCAATGCTAGGATCTGAACAGCTACACGTTCTCTGTGTTTGGAATCTACCTTTTCTCCCTCCTTACCTTTTCCCCATTCCCCAAATCTACAAATGCCACTTCTTTCCAGAAGCCTTCCTTGATGCCTCCTATCAATACTGGCTTTCCCCACTCCCAGTCTCACCTTGGATGCAACATAAGGCTTTCCTTGCTCCTTTTGGATATGTGGTGAGCAGCAGCATGGTGGGGAACATGCTAGACCTGAACTTGAGTCCTCCCACCTCGGATATCTTTTAGTTATGTGGCTCTGGCCAAGCCATCAAATCTTTTCTGTGGTTCAGTTTCCTCAGACTGAATATGGGTCTAATAACATCATTGACATTCCAGGGTTGTTGTGAAGATCACATGAGATACTGAGTGAGAGGTCTCATCAGCCCACTAGGGATGTGTCAGCTTTTATTTTGGGGGTCTGGGCTTGGGGCTTCATCCATGAAGATGCTCCCACATGAGGAAGCTCCCTTATCTCATGAACTCAGTACCTAGAGGGGTGTTTGGAGGCACTCAAGAAGTGACTTGTCCAGGGTCATGTAGCTAGGATGTCAAAGGCTAGACCTGAACCCAGGCCTTCCTAGCTTTGAAGCCAGTCCTTCGCACACTTAGACCATGCTGGCTCATTGCCATTATCATCATTTATTTATTATTATCATTATTTTAACTGCTTTGAATATGTAGCCACATGGTACCTAGAGAGGACTGGACCAAAGTCAGAAGGCTTGGGTTAAATTCCAAGCTCCACCACTTACTATCTGTGTGAATCTGTGGGTTTCGGTTTCCTTATTTTTAAAAAATAAGGTGGTTAGAGTAGATGGCCTGTGAAGTCCCTTCCACCTGTAAATCTAGGATTCTGAGGCCAGTAAGAGAGGACCTTCTGCAATGCTGCACAAAATGCTGGTGAGAACAAGGGAATCAGTCATTTCTAAAATGCAAATGTTCTTTCCATTTCGCAGATTAAGACTACTGAGGTTCAGAAGCAAGGTCAGTTAACTAGCATTTACTGGCTTTTTAATTAAGGTGGTTTGACTATTTTTGCGTAGTTAATATGTGCTGGGGCTGTGATTTGAACCCAGTCTTCCTGACTCCCAATTCCTTACTCTTTTTCCTCTACCCCAGAGCAGCTTGAAAGCTAGAAGGGTACTATTAATAATTATGTATAATATATAATAGTAATAACAACATGTTAACATTTATATAATGCTTTAAGGTTTGCAAAGTTTTATAAATTTTACATCATTGGATCTTCATTGTAACTTTTTTTTTTTGGTGAGGCAATTGGGGTTAAATGATTTGTCCAGGGTCACATAGCTAGTGAGTGTTATGTGTCTGAGGCCGGATTTGAACTCAGGTCCTCCTGACTCCAGGGCCGGTGCTGTATCCACTGTGCCACCTAGCTGCCCTAATTGTAACTTTTAGAGGTAGGTGCTGCTATTATATCTACTTTATAGATGAGGAAACTGAGGCCGAGAGGTGTAAGCAACTAGTCCAAGATCACAGAGGTAGTAATATAGGGCAGAGCTGAGATTCTAACCCAGGTCTTGCGACTCCAAGTTGAATATTCCTTTCACTGTACCATGTGCTCTCAAGATAACTTCATTAGAAATGTGAAGGCTGATTTGAGGAAGCTGGGTGGGAGTTAGTAAATGGACTGAAATCAGTTCATTTCTGAAGTACCTCCATTGAAGGTACATCCATTGCCTTGTGCAAAAACAGGAAGCAACATACTTATATTTCTGTTGGATTTGATTTGAATATATCTTTTTTCATGGAGACTACCCTCCCACCCCCCAAAGCCTTCATCTGTCTGTCTATCTATGTATGAATATATGTATGTATGTATGTATCTCTATCTGTCCATCCATCCATCCATCCATCCATCCATCCATCCATCCATCCCATCTCTCTCTTCCACTACCAAAGCCACCTTCTGGCCAAGCCAGAAAGGTTTAAGAACTTCAACATGAAAACTCAGGATGTCTTGACATGTAGGTAATCTGCTGTATACTGGAGAATCTTAACCATGAATGGTTACAAATCAGAATTATAAGCTGGGAAAATCTACCCTTAAAATGGGGCAGAGGAATTCTTGGTAGGCCTACAAAAATAAAACCCAGTGTAGGTGAAAATGTCGTTAATGAGCCACCCCTTCCTTTCCACATCTCTTCCCCAAGTCTAGGAGCGTAAGTGGTGGAAATACTTTGCCTGCAATATCTTCTCCATCTCAAGGAGCATGAAGAAGACCTATTGTGATGTAGAGCACTCCAGGGGGGACAAGCTTTTTCTTTGTGGTGGCACTGTTGTTGAAACTAGAGGAATGAATTAGAATAAATAAGAGAGAGAGAGGAGAGAGAGAAGAGGAGAGGTAAAAGGCAGAGAGGGAGAGAGGAAAGAAAAGACAGAGAAATGGGAAAGGAGAGGAGGAGAGAGAGAGAGAAATAGAGGGACAGAGACAGAGGGGAGAGGAGAAAGAGGAGAGACAGAAAAGTGGAGGAAGGGGGGGAGAGAAGAGAAAGGAGAGAGAGAGAGAGAGAGAGGAAAGAAGAAGAAAAGAAGAAGAAGAAGAAGAAGAAGAAGAAGAAGAAGAAGGAGAAAGAAGAGAAGAGGAGAGGTAAAAGGCAGAGAAGGAGAGAGGAAAGGAAAGACAGAGAAACAGAAAAGGAGAAGAGAGAGAAAGACAGAGGGGCAGAGATAGAGGGAGAGAGACAGAGGGGAGAAGGAAACAGAGAAGACACAGAAAAGAGGAAGAGGAGGAGGAGAGGGAAAGGGAGGAGAAAGAAAAGGAGGGAGAGGAGAGAGAGAAAGAGAGAGAGAGAGAGAGAGAGAGAGAGAGAGAGAGAGAGAGAAGAGAGAGAGAGAGAGAGAGAGAGAGAGAGAGAGAGAGAGAGAGAGAGAGAGAGAAAGGATAGTGAGAGAGAACACTCCCTCCACCACTGTTTCCAGGCGACACATGTAATCTGTTGCTGTCATACATACCCTTTCCCGTAAGACAGCGGGTCCCACTGGGAGAAGGGGCGAAGTGGAATATTTTATCAGCTGTGTACATATGTACAGGAGCTTGGTTGAAAAGCAAAACCTCTTTTTTCCTCTGAATAGGGGGAAAGAGGGAGGGAAAAAGAGGTGGAGGCAATGGAGGGGGCTTTTCTACATGGGGTGAACAACCAGTCTGTGCCCAGTGGACAGCATTCCCAACCTTTCAGTCAAGTCCAGAAGGGAAAAGTCCACATGGATCAATGCTTTGGGTGACATAGTATAAGAAAGATCTGACTTCTTTAAAAAAAAATGATCCACTTGAAATTTAATAATAACAAAAATAGACATTTAGTTAGCACTTTAAAAGACTTACAAAAATCTTTACACATATTTTCTTGTTTGATCCTCACAACAACTCTGTGAGATAGGTTGTTTCTAGTTCCATCTTACAGATGAGGAAACTGATCTCCAATGACTTGCCTAGGGTCACAAAGCTAGTGTCAGGGGTGGGATGTGGATCCAGGTCTTCCTGACTCCAAATCCAGCACTCCTTCCACTATCCTTGATTTGTTTATTTTTTAATAGGAGAGAGGATCCTTCAGGGCTTGAGCCTTACTGTTCAGTGAATAGCGTCAATGCCCCAGCTTAAAGGGCCACACCACCAAATGTGAATTTCAAGACTCCATCTCGCTCTTCTTGCTAACAGACTTTTTGTGCCAGGAGTAAATTCTTTTCTGTAGAATTGGTTTCCAAATATGGGGGTTGGAATGGGGAGGATGTGTGGCTTTTGGGTGGAGAAAACTTGGTCTCTTATACCTGTGTCTGCATTGTTGGATTCTGATTGGAGGCCAGAACAGGCTGAATTTGGATGGTACCAGGTGAGTGTGTTCTCCTCTCCATTTCAAACAAGCCAGGGCTAGAAGACAGGAAGGAACCAGCTCTCTCCAGAGCTTCGCTGAGGAGGACCAGCTGTGTACCTAAGAGGCAGAGGTTAAAAAAAGAAAGAAAGAAAGAAAAAAAAAAGCAAAAGAATGGGATGAGACACCATTACTGATCACAGATAGTTAGAAAGTACCCAGCCTTGGAAATAGCCACCAGCTCAGTTACCCAGGGAGATCAGCTATTTCTAACAAGTGGCTTAAAAAGGAAACATGTTTATTAATCATGCTACCCATGCACCTTTGGTGAGGAGGGGTGGCCAGTGACAATTCTGTATTTCTGTGAGGCACCCCAGAATGACTGAAACTGATGGGAGACAGACGCTATTCTGGGGGATCAGCAGAAGTGGCTGCACACTCTAAATACTGAGCCATGAGGATCTCTCTAAACAGGTCTGGGGACAGAATGTGGAACTGACCAACTTCTGTGTTAAACAACTACCCTCTCCCCAGTCCCCAGACACACAGAGATGAGACAGGCTGGGGATCTCTGAGCTCAGGAAAAAGTTTGTGGAATTAAAAAAAAAATAGTAAGAAAGAGAGAGGCAAAAGAGGGATGGGAAAAAGGAGAGGGGGAAAAAAAAGAAAAGAAAAAAAAGAGAGGTAGAAACGAGTGAGCCCATCTGGGCAATGCATCACATTGAAATTGTCCCGCATTAAAAATTCACCAGCCAGTGAATTTTCAAGGGATTTGTAGTAATTAGATGACAAAATGCCTGCAAATCTCAGGCTTGCCAAAGATGTTACTCAGGGGTCAAAGACTCCACACTTTCGGCTGGGTAATTTGTAAGTGTCAATCACACACAGCCATCAGAGAGAAGGAAAAGATCTAACCGCGGAATTCTAAGTAAGTCCAATGTTCTTGCCTTCAGCCACCCCATCGGCTGCTATCATCTCCCCTTCACTCCATCCCCCTACTTTCCCCCTGTCAATCGCCTTCCCCTCTTTTATCAGAGGCACAGACGGTCTGCGGCTTCATAAGGGACTTGGAATGGAGCCGGTCGCTGTCAAACCCAAGTTTGTAACTTCTCCCTTTTCCCCAATAGATTTTTGGTGGTGTTTTCAGGTTTTCTTTTCTTTTTAAATGCAATTTTATTATTCTTTTTCCCAAGGAACAAAAATCTATTTTTCCTACCTCTCTCACTAGAAAAAATTCCCTATTAGATACTACTCAGCACAAACACCCTGCTCTGCCTCCCCCCACCAAAAAAAAAAGAAAAAAATCAATCCTGAATTTCAGAAAACAATAATGCTCAGCAAAGGACAATTCCTTGAATTTCTACTATTTCTTAGGACCACAGAGCTTGAAGAATACTTGGAGATCACTGAGTCTAACACTTTATATTACAAATGAGGAAACTGAGGCCCAGGAATGTTAGGTGACCAGCTCAGGGTCACAGAGCCAGAATTTTAATCCAATCAAGCCATCAGCATTTATTAAGCACCTACTTACATTCCAGGCACAGTGCTAGGCATCAGGGATACAAAGACAAGAAAATGAAAGAATGCTTGCCCTCAAGAAGCTTACATTCAAGAATGGCAGGGGTTCTTAATTTGGGGCTCATGAGCTTTTTTTTTTTTAATTTTGATAAACTGCATTTCAGTATAATTGTCTTCCTTTGTAATCCTGTGTATTTTACTTTATAAACATGATTCTGGGAAAGCATTTCTAGGTTTCCCCAGACTGACTGACTGCCCAAGGGGTTGACAGCACAAAGAAGGGAAAGAATTCAGATTTCCTGTTCCTGGCTTCCAATCCAGGGCACTTTCCTTAGAACCAGGGTGCCTGTGTTATCACTGGACCCTCTATCCTGATGACAATCTAGCTCTGGCACCCCAGTCATACAGTTAGTAATAATGTTAATCTATGATATTAATAATAATCAACCACAATAAATGTAATAATGACATTTATGCAGTGGTTTAATTTTTGCAAAGTGGCCCCCATTCTCTAATCTGAGCCTCACAATAACCCCATGGGGTTCAATGCTCCAGGCTCAGAAAAGGTGATTTGTCTGCCACTAAGTCACACAGCCAGTTGCATGAAAGGCGAGATCTGACCTGGAGTCCATCCTGACTCTGATTCCTGCGCCCTCTCCACATTCAGTCATCTGAGATCATCGCACCCGAACCCCTCATCTGATGGGAAGGTCTGTTGTATTACAGGTCAGGCATGCCAATGACCATTAAGCAAAGGGGAGACGGATGTCCAGAGTGAGGACCTGCTCCAGGATGTGGACTCTTGATTTGGCCTCTCAGCTGTTCTCCTTGAACATTCCTTACCTTTAGAACCCAGGGGACATTCTCAATTCTGCCCTTTTGTAGGCCAGTCGATATTTATTAAGCACTTACTATGTGTAGGGTGCGTGCTAAGCCAGGCTCCTGACTTGTGCCCTGAAGAGATGCTCTTGTCATTCCTGGACTTTCTGTTTGAAATGTTATTGAGGTAGGAGGGGTGAGGGAGAGGGGAGCCAGAAAATGCTTAGAATGGATGCTTTGCCCCTGGGCACATGCCATACTTTTTGAGGGGAGGATCTCATTCCATTGACTCTTTCTGATTAAAAATTTTCTGAAGGGAATAATGGGTTGGGGGCCTCCCAAAGGGAAAATGTCTGTCATTACATGTTTTCCAGGAACTCTTGGCATGCCTGGAGCATGGGTTGATAGCCAATGTTCTGCAAAGCCTCCTCCTGCTCCCTCCCTTCTCCCGTACACCAGCTGAGGCTGCCCAGAGCCTTCCTCGACTACCTGCCAGTGCCTGTCAATGTCTAGTCCGAGACCTGGGGGCAGAAGGTCCCTCAATCTAATCTGACAGATGAGGAAACTGAGACCCAGAGAAGGGAGAGGACTTGATCAATGACAGACCCCCCCAAAAAAAAAAAACAAACAAACCAAAACAAACAACAAAGTTTTCCAAGCACCAGATGATGGGGCCCCTTGCTTCACAATCACATTCCAACCAAGCAAAAGACTGCAGACTTGTTCTTAGCATTTATTTGTGCAGGTATGGACCCCCAACATAAGACAATATAGATTTAGACACATGAAGCTTCATTTCATAAAAAAGAATTCAAGATAGGATCAGCTTCCCTTTCCGCAGGCCCCTGCTAACAAGGCAGCGTGGCGGATGGAGCTCTGGGCTTGGAATCAGGAAGACCCGAATTCAAATCAGGCCTCAGACACTTACCTGCTGTGTGACCCTGGGTGAGTCCTGTCACCAATGGATACTTCCCTTATTCTATAATGGAGGAACCAGAAGCGTCCACTGGTGAAGAACGGCATCTGAAGTCCCCCCCAAATCTAGCTGCAGGATCTAGAGTCATTCATGGTTAGCCATTTGACAACCCAGAAACCCTCCTCTGGATGCCTGGGAGTGCCCGGAGCAGAACAGTAGCTCTTGAAATGTGTGTGGTCTGATGAGGGCAGAGGACAGCAGGGCAGTCATCTCCCTAGTACTGAGTGCCACACCTCTAGCATGCAGTCCAAAACTCCATCAACGTTTATGGCAGACATCTCACAATGTCAACATGTATTGAGTCTGGAGTCCACTAAAACTCTGTGTGTGTGTGTGTGTGTGTGTGTGTGTGTGTGTGTGTGTGTTTGTATACATACACACCTATACATATATACCTATACACCCACACATGGGTATTTTTTCAGATGACCAGCTGTCTAATCTCTTTCTTGATTAATTTTTGGGGTGGGGGAGAAGGGAGGCCCCACCATAGGCATAGGTGATTCCAATTCTCTACCCTTCATCGCAGCTTGGTGCTGCCATCACTAAACCTCTACCAGGTCTGAGTGGAGGATTTACTCAAGGGGAAAACGAGAAAGCGGCTGGTGTTTCTTGGGAAGTGCCAGACAAGTCCTTTTGAGTGCCCACGTAAAACTCTCTTCAGTGCTAGATGAGAAAGAGTAATAGTGAGTCCTCCGACCTGCAGGCGAACACAGGCAGCACCAGATGAATCCCTTCCAGGCTGCCGGGGATATATCACAAAGACTAAGCTCCCTGCTTCTAATACAATAAAAATTATTAACAACAACAACAAGTTGAGGTCATCCATTCTCCAAGCCCCTCATGAATATCTCCAGCCTCCACCGTGTGGCTTCAAGGGCCAGATTCGGGCCGTCAGCAAAAGGGACAGCCCAGACAGAGGAAAGGAGACTGCAGAGGGCCTGGGTTCAATTTCTGCCTCCTATGGATCACTTATTCTGTGACCTTGGGCAAGTTACTCCACCCCACCTGGGCCTCATCTGTAAAATTTCAGTTTACAGTTATGGTAAAAGTTAGTTTCCTCATCTGTAAAATAAGGGAGCCGAACTGGACAGCCTCTGAGTTCTCTTTCAATCCCAGGGAAGAGTGGTCTACTTGGAATCAAGGCCTGGGTTCAAATCGTGGCTCTGGTATTTATTACCTGTGAGAAGAGGGGCAAGTCAATTCCCCTCTGTGGGGAGGGGGTGAGTTAGACGGCCTTCAGACATTTGTATAGGCATTTCCCTTTGGCTCAAGGTTTATGAAACTGTTCCTATCCACACAAGTGTCCGCATTTGGTGTCCTGACTTCACAGAGGCACACATATGTGCACTGCGTTGGGTGTACCCAGTGCAGGAAAAGATGGACTTTGATGCAAAGAAAGAGAAGGTGATTGGCCCAGGGTCACGCCAATGGTAGGTGGAAAAGCTGGGACTGGACCCCAAGTCTCCTGCCTCCATCCATGCCCAACGCCTCTTCACTAAGCAGCCTCCATAATTATAATCTCAGCTGACAGTGGCCAGTTTCCAAATGCAATTAGGAGCTCGGGCAGAGGAAAAAAATTGGCAAGTTATTTTATTCAGGCAGAAATTGTGGGTGAATACTCTTCGCTCTTGAGATCGCTTTTCCAACTGAGGTGGGTACAACATGAAGCCAGAGGTGCCAGAGTTGAATCTGGATTCTGACACTTAGCAGTTTTATAGTATCTGGGCCTCAGTTTACTCAGCTGGAAGATGAGGGGCTTGGATGGGATGTGACCTCTAAGACCCATTAAAGGCGTATTCCA